GGACAAGCGCGACAACGGCTTCCTCTCGCTCATCGAGTTCGACGGCCGCGTCCTCCCCTCCCTCGAGGTCAGCGAGCTTGCTTTGTCCCTTGTCCCATCTCGATTCTCGCTCTTCGTATTCCTCTAAATCTTGTTCCTTGCACTAACCCTTCGTTCCTTTCTTCATCTCTGTCTGTTCTTGCAGCCCGGCGAGTCGTACAACCTGGACGGCGGGCTGGCGTTTGTGTTCAAGGGGTACGAGCAGGAGGGCGGCGGATTCTTCGACGTGGACGCGTACTCGCTGCGCATCGGCGACAAGCTGGCCATGGACATTAAGCTGAGGCCCGCGCACCCGCTGCTGCAAACGCCCGACGACGCGCAGGTGCACCTGAACGTCAACTTCAAGCACGTGTCGCGCTCCCCGTCGGTGCACGGCATCATGGGACAGACGTACCGCGAGGGCCGCGCCGAGCGTGCCATTGACTACGCCATGCTGTCGCGGCTGCTGCGCACTCCCTTCTCTGCCGACGGCGACAACGGCCAGGGCTTCCTGGACGGCAAGTCCGCCGACTACGAGACCTCCGGAGTGCTCTCCACTGACTGTGGCTACTCCGCTTTCTCCAAGGCCATGTAAACTCCTGGAAGACTTTGTTTCTGTGCTGGAGTTCGTTGGCTATAGGCTCTTGAGATACGACAGTTCGTTGTCAATTATTATATTCATGTGTTATGTTTTTATTAGCGCTCATGTATTCTACTTTTTTTCTATGGGCAAAGCCTGAAATTCATAACCATTCTTTTGGTTCATAACATATGCATGAAAATATACCAGCACCAAACATGAACTAGTAAGTAAAAGTGCAACAACTGAAATGAAATCTTCTTCAAGAAAAAATCAATACAGATCCGCAGTTCAACAATCATTCAACAATAAATTATGCAGTATTAAACAATGCAATTTTGTTGACAACGTAGAGCTAATGGATAGTACAAGAACGTTCTGCAGAATAACCCACTTGGCAAAACCCGTTCGTCTGGGTTGCGCAGCAAAGCATCCAGATTCCAGCCTAAGGAAGCGTTTCAATTGTCATATCAATCCTAAACCCGAAATCCGGTAATGTTTATGGGTTCAGGAAACTAGATCGCTCCATTGGTAGTGATGAGTTCGATTGGTCGCCGTCTCATAATGTCGGCTAGTTTCGTATGGGGTAACAGGGCGACAAAGAAACATCATACATTGTGCGTGTCGTCTCATGGCGGAACTGTACGACTCGCCAGCGAAGCAATGCGACGCGCTTGACATTTTCTGCCTCCCACCTGCAATTTCGATCGTCTCCCATATGGCTCGGGGTACAGTAGCAGCTCTCCTGCTAACACGCAGATTGGAACACCCTTGTGGCGATTGATGCTAACACGCAGGTTTGGTGTGTGGTCCCCCCATCCTCCTCCGCTGTTGCAAATGTGACAGCGTCCTAATACGGTACCGTACCCTTGAAACGCGGTCACGCAGTAATTTCAGTGTTTTGTATGAATTCGAACGATGATTTTTCAGCTTTTTTTTCGGTAAAGCTGATGCAGTGCCTCAACCTTCATGGGTGCATATCGTCCGGTTGTGCACGCGGTAGGATGAGATGGTTCTTGTGACTATCAAGCGCCTTGAACGCATGGACGATCATGTCCTCCACGTTGTGGAGTGAAGGTTTACACGGCGATCACCCTTGCAGGGGGGGCTTCTTTTACTCCCAAATGGAAGTTGTCAATGGATTGATCTCCATTGCAGGCCATTTGCCAGTATATCTCTCCCTTCTTTTGTAGATACTAATGTGAAGCTTGCAGTATCTTTACGTCAACTTTCTTGAGATCTTATTACCGTACGGTTCAACTCAATGCTTGTGAGCTGCAGTCATACATTGCCAATGGTTGTGACGGCAAACAAGCATGTAAGTCAATTTATTACAACGAAAATCTAAAGCAATTGCAAATCCATTTTACAGTCGGTTGAGAATAACCTACAAGAGCACCCTATTCCTGAATCCACTATGCTTCATGTGCCAAGTCATGTGCCGACCCAGAATGCATCCCCGGTCCTACACCCGTTGTAATGGACTACCGGCGATGAAGAACTGGAGCGAACGGGCGGCGAGGCGACTGTCCAGGGTTGTTACGACTCCAGAAACTGCTCCTACTACCATGGTTGACAGCCTACTCCTGATATTCCTAAGTTGTTGTCCGGAAAGTGTCGCAATGGCATAGTAACTGCGAACTGGTTACAACACGAGAGCGAAAGCGGCAACGGCTGCGACCGACACGAACCACCGGAAGCCGGCAACGATCCCTGCAAATGAATCAAAGAGAGTGAGAAGTCAGTGGCGGTGGATATCATGGAGGGCAGAAGCATGTACACGACAGCTAGAATACTGAGCGTAGAGGCTCTACAAAAAGGTGGAAACGTACTGGCTGAAGGCTTGGGAGGAGTAGGCGAGGTGGTGGAAGGGGGAGGAGCGGTGGTAGCGGGAGGAGACGGCGAGACGGTGGGAGCAGGAGGAGCGGGAGCGGCATCGGAGCCAGGAGAATTCTCGGAGCCAGGCGCGGCGAGGATACGGCGCCCATCATCCTCATGCACGTCGACGGCGCCGAAGTCAATGGAGCCGAGAGCCTCCTCGAGCGAGGGCGGGATGAGCAGGCCGCGGATCGAGTGCACCACGGCATCCTTGGAGATGATCGCGTTGTACTCCTTAACGGCCACGCTCGACACGTAGAACGCTAGCGCGTCCATGCGGAGCACAGCGGGGGAACCCTCCAGAGTGGCGTGGTCGCCGTCCCACTTGAAGGCGGAGATGCGCTCCGGAACAACGTGGAAGAGAAGAACCTTGCGGAGAATGTCCTTGTTAACGGGTGCCTTGAGGTACGCGAGGAGTGCGGGAGACACCTTGTACATGAGCGAGTCATCGGAAGGAACGAAAAGAGTCGCTTCGCCCAAGTCCAGCTTCCCTTCAAGCTCCGTCACCATATCGGCTTGCTCCAGTAGCTTGGCGAAACCCGAGCATCCCGCGGATCTCAGTTGGGAGGTAAGGGTATTCTGCCCGTCGTTCGCCGAGGCGAAGGCGAGTGTGGCGAGGAGGAGGATTGCGACGAATCGTGCAGCCATTGCGACGGATGGAGGAATAGCCAGGTAAACTGGCGTAAGCGGAAAGAGTGGTGGTACTTGTGATGCAGGCTGAAAAAATGAGGGCGGTTGCTTGGGCTGGAGAGAGACTGCGACGTAGAGGAGACGAAGACAAGGTTGCTCAGGCTAGGCTTACCTGTGCCAAGCTTGGGTTGGAATGATTTGTGAATAGAGAGCGAGGGTACTTGTAAGGATTCCAATCCCGCGCTTGCTTCCTCGGTCGCACTGTGACGTGATTTTGGTTTGCGGCGAAACGCACGGAGCAGGGCGTGGCGCGGAAACGTCCCTGGGAAGGGGAGATGGGGACGCAGTGGCGAGGTGTGATGCCGCATGTCGCAGCTTTCGATATTCCTTTCCGCCTTCGCCCTGATGTGATCGCTCACACGCAGAGCGCGTCAGAGTGGTGCCCGCTGTTGAGCCGAAGCGCTGAACAAGAGGGACTGGTAAGAGGGGGGAGTGACGAGCCGTGTTTCGTTTGGAACATGGAAATGCGACTCGGTGTTTGGAGGGCACGGTCTCCCGAGCCTTTCACAGTGATGTGAAAGGAGGGACATGTCCTAGGTTCGGAAAGCCGTAAAAAGCGCTCAAACGAATAGCTTAGCTTTGTGGACTACCGTACCGAAACGTGTCGGTTTGGGCTTTGACGAAGCAGCGTCGAAACAGAGTGGTTGAGGCAAGCCTGCTTGTAGTGACAGGTTCGAGCACGTTCGCGCCAAGGCCGTTTGTTTCGCAACGAGGGGCAGTGGAGTGAAGGCTTGTCTTGACAGGTCATTGGTCTCCATCCATGCCATTGGGTAAGGTAAGTTGTGAAACGTGATGGTGCACCACGGGCTGGGTCGCCGCAACTTTCCGACATCGCCGGAAACTAACACCACAGAAGCAGATGTTTCGCGGGCAACGCTTCAGAAAGTTTGAACATAGGGCAGTCAAAGTGAAAATACATATCAACGGACAGCCAGTCGTCGCTTCGCCGTTCACCTGACCTGATGACGTCCGTTCAAAATGTCACCGCCAAGCCAAACCCTCAATTTTGACAGAGCCGAAAGCTATGGGACTTGCCATTCAAGAGCACTCGTTTCAGGAAATGCTAGTGCGTGAAAATCCTAATCTACACATTTAATCGTATCTTTCTTCTACAAATTGCATCTGTATTTCTTTAATGCAATAACTTTAGTCTGATCCATGAATAGACAGCCATTCAGCAACAGAATAGGCCCATTGAAAAATTATTCTCACTTATTTTGATGTTTTGTTTTCCTTGTCATGAATAATCTGGACCTCTGGGTTTTTATGTCGAATCTAGGTGGTGCATTTATCTCTTTATGCTTGAATATGTATAAGAAATACCGTGCCCCCCTGACATGGTGAAATCCCCATTGTCATTTTGATTGGTTGATTCACCGATATAAAGATTACAAACAGTCTCTTACAGCTGTACCATGATCCTATGGTACCGTGTCTCCATGTGTAAATACAACTCTGCTAAAGAACTGTTTCAATATGGTAAGTTTCTTTCTTGGGCATTTCTTATAGCGCTGAAAAAAAATGTCATTCTCCACGCCTGTCACGAAATTTCTACTGCAAGAGCACACTAGCAATGTACTCAACAGTGTACACCCCAACAAATGCAAGCATAGCAACTCGTCCATTCAGCTGTTCCGCCTCCCAGGAGAAGAAGAGGAAGCTGCAGGCAGGAAACAGGAGGCAGGCAGAAGTCAAATGATGAGAATCAGTGTTGGTGATGCATGCTCAGCACATCATTCAGCGTTCACCAGACCCCCTTGATCTCCACCCTCGCCCTCCCCTACCGCATCTCCATTGCCTCGTACCACATCAAGTACATTGTCAGAAATAACTTTCACAGCATAGCAGCACCCATGCACTGACCACTCAAACTCGCCGCCTTAGGCACATGCCTTTCCTTACCGCCCCACACACTGGTCTACAGACACTCCAGACTTGAGCATTCCACTCAGAAGGGGGTCCCCCCATGGCATAGATAATCTGATTGCGGGTCACCAAACGACCAAGACAGCAACACACGACACGCTGCCATACACCACGACTCTCATCTGAACCATACTCACCTGCGGTCTTCTGGCCGAACTCCCTTGAGCAGCGGAGGCAGCGAGGCAAGGGAGACGAGGACAGCAGCCAGCAGCAATGCTGCTATGCCCGTCTCGCCAGGATCTGCCAGCTGCTGCTGCAATGACACCCCGCCCACCACCTCCCGACTCATCCCTGCTACGAATCCCAGCATGGCCTGGGAGGGATGCGTGGGAGGAGAAGCGATGGGGATGACGAGACGTAGAAAGCTAGATGCAGCATGGTGATGGTGAAGGTGGTCATGCCATACCCCAAAGAACACACAAGGTAGGCAGCCATATCCAAACCTCTTCTCAAAGAGCAGCTTCTCGAACATGGAAGGAGGGACAACCTACCATACAGCAAGCACAGCACCAGGATGAGCACAGCACCACGTACAAGGCGGCCGTTGATGAGCTCAGGCCCCGGCCCATCAAACGCCATAATGCCCTCGAATGACGCCTCCAAGGGGTCCCACGTGCGCCCGGGGGAGGAGGAGGAGGAGGGGGAAGGCGAGTCGAATAGGCGGGCGCGGGTGTTGGCGGAAACAGATGGAGGAGGGGAGGAGAGGAGAGAGAGGGGCGAGGAGGAGGAAGAGGAGGGAGGAGCGGGGGAGGAGGGGGATGGCTGAGAGGCGGAGGCGGATTGCGGTCGGCTTGAGGCGGAAAGGCCGCTGCTTGTTCCACTCTGGAAGGGAGATTCAAAAGAGTGGAACAAAAACAGAGAAGATACAGAAAGGAGCTGTTTTGCACTTGTTGGCGACAGTGGAACAAAACGTGGAATTGCGCTGAGCCGTGTGCTGCATTTGTATACCGACACGTTGATGGGGACGCTTCCCCCCTCTCGTTGAAAAGAATGGCTCATGAGTTGAGGGGGAGACCCTTCTTCCGCTCGTTCTTCCACTTCCCCCTCTCGCTTTCCCCTCTCGTTTCCCCCTCTCGCCCCCCCCCCACTTGCCCCTCTCTCCTCTTCCTTTCTCATCGCTTCCGCCCATTCCTTGCCCTTAACTGCGCACCTGTGGTTGCGCGCCCCCCGCGGGGGGCGGCTGCGCGGAGCCGGGGGAGGAGTCCGAGCCACCTGAGCGCGCAACCACTGCGGTAAGCGGTCGCGCGGCGGAAGAACGCGTGGAAGTGGCACTCCCCGCTATGAATACCCCGCGCGAGGACGCGGGGAGTCTGAGCGGGTGGGAAACCGCGGCAGGTGGGGAGAGCGGGAAAATTGAAGAGGTGGGGAAGGGAAGATCGGAAAGAAGAATGGTCGTGCGGCAAGAGCGGGAGGAGGGAGAGAGACAGACAGCGTGGAGTGATAGAAGCGGCATTGATGCTCACTCGAACCGCCGCGTGGCTCGTGGTGGTGACAATTGCTGCCCGAGCAAATTACTCACCTAATAACCGTCTGCATTGTCGGCTGCGTCAGATAGAATCCTGTCGTCCGCGATGGCAGCAACGGGTAGCGCCCGTTGAACGCGGCTTGAAAATTCTGCTACCTTTGCCTGCGTTATGATCCGCCCAGGCCTGTGCAGGCGCGACGATCCAGCGACAGGTTGTCCCCGATAGAAAACAAGTAATTATACAACTGGAGGCGTGAAACTCCGAGGCCTGCTGCTGAGTTCTCATTGGTTAGCGACGAGAACCAACCTGAGCCACTAACCTTCGCTTCGATGAATGAGGGGATCTTGTTGCACCACGTCCCGTGGGAGTTGCTGGTTGGACAAACGTCTGTAGCGAACATCGCTTGCGTAGAGTTGACGTGGTAACAGCTTGGAATCTTGCGTTTGTTTGAGATGACAATACAGTGCGTGGAATGGTGGAGAGGATCCTACAAGCCCAACTATAAAATAACTATAAATCAGCCTCCTTCCTTTTGGGGGGCTCAATTCTGCATCAATACCAGCATTCACCGTTCATATGGTAGACATCAGTTATAGCAAAACATGCCCGACCTCAGAGTAATTCTGTAGGTAGAGCACAAACATGAGCTATATTCTCTCCCGTCAAGATTTGGTACGCCATGGTTGCCTGTAGCGGCCTATTCCCGTCAAGATTTGGTATGCCATGCCATTTGATAGTTCAGGCACAGTACCTCTGCCCGCTACAGGGTAAGCTGGGAGGCTGCAACTGTGGCCCTGCATTTTTTGCTAAGAAGAGCTGCGCTGCAGTGTTAGGCGTGAGCGTGGGAATGAGATACGGCGGGGAGAATGGCTGCTTCGTACCCCTGAATTCATGGAAAGTTGCCCCGTTCATGAGTGCATCGCCGATCGAAACAATCGTAGGTGAGTTGTCAAACCCGGGTGTAGACAATGCCGAGATGCCAAACCATGGGGTGACCTCCTTTCGCTGACCAGGCAGGAAAACATTCCGCTCAGACCGAATGTTCGCATATGCTCGGCCTCCTAGGCAGTAGAAACCCCAATTGGTGTAGAGGTTGTTCACCACATGGACCTGCCCCCATCGGCAGTGTGGTAACCGCTGACCGGATTTGTCAAACCAGTTACGGTAGATGGTTACACGCATGCGCTTGTCAATGGAGTCCCAGTCTGCTGCTCCCAGCAGCATAGTGAGGTCCCTGGGGGCATGATAGGTGCAGGGTTGGAAGGGTGGAAGGGAGAGGGAGTGGGGAGAGAGAGAGAGAGAGATATATATATATATATATAGAGAGAGAGAGATAGAGAGAGAGAGAGAGAAAGAGAGGGGGGGGAGGGGGGGGGGAGTGGGGAGGATGGAGAGGAGGGGGGGGACGAGGAGTGAAGGAGGGGGCACAAGCATGTAGGTAGAGAGTATTGGTAAAGGAGGGTTCAGAAATAAGGATGGATAGGAATGGAGGCCAGGGATTCAAGGATGTGATGCAGCAACTGGTGGGGAAGAAGCAAGCAGGATGGCGAGAGGGTGGGAGGGAGAGCAAAGAGCACATACATGGGATCTGGTGGATGTGGGAACTTGCTACTGAGTTGGTGTCGACGCAGCAGAGTGGTGTTCAAAGAAGTGTTCACAACACCTCTACACGCTGTGCAAGAAGATGTTGTAGAGTCATCAGACCCATCTGCCTTGATTATCAATGACCAGCCAAACAATACCCAGCAGCAGCAGCAACCCCGATACCAAGTTCAACCCGCTTGTACCTCCCTTCCCGCTCACTTGTTGTGGACGTAGCAGTTGGAGATGGTGACGTCAGTGGACCCCCGCACCACGTCAACAGTGCCACGTACGCCGTTCTGCACGTTGCAGTGGTCCACCCACACGCGCCAGCTGGACCGGATGTGGATAAGGTCGTGGTTGCCGTACTCGTTCTCCACTGGAGAGGGAGCGATTGGGGAACGCAGGGACGACGGAAGGGAGAGAAGAGAAGAGACGAGGGCAGAAAGAAGAGGAAGAAAAAAAGGAGAATTGTTAACCTGGCATGTGTATGGGCTGTGCGCACCCTTCTCCCCATCTACGCACCTTCCACGTAGGGAAAAAGTGGGCATTTTGGAAAATGCCTCTTCGCGCACCTGCGATGTTGTGTATAATCACATTCGTGACGTTGATCACGTCGAGACTCCCAATGATTTTCACCCACGCGCCGCGCCCGTCGATGCTCGTGTGCGACGGCACGAACAGCCGCGCGTTCAGGCGAATCGTCATCGTCTTCGCGAACCGGATGTAACACCCGCCGCGCAGCCACTGCAGCGCCCAGCGCAGCGTGCCGTACTTGGGCACGGTCGCGTAGTCCGCGCTGCTGCGCACGATATACACGGGCTTCCCGAGCCCGCCCGTCACGCGCGCGCGCTTCGCGTATCCCATGGCGCAGCGGTACAGGTTCTGCCCGAAGCCCTTGCGCGAGTATTGGCAGTCCACCTGCTTTCTGCTCGCTGCTTTGACTGTCTTGACTGTTTTGACTGTTCTGACTGGCTTCTTGCTGCTTCTGCTTCGGCTGCTTGGCCTCTTCGCGCTGCTGCTCGGCCGCTTCGTGGGGGTTTTCCTTTTCCGCGCGCTTGCGCCTTGCACGCGCGATTTCCCTCCCGGCCTCGCCTTCCCTTGCCCGCTCTTCCCGCGCCCTCTCACGGTTCGCGCACCAACCCCCTTCCGCGGCGCCTTCTTCGCCCCTCCGCGCTTTGTTGTGCTCGGACGCCGTTTGACTGCCTTCCTCGACTTTGCCGCAGCCGCGCTCACTCCGCGGCTCGTGCGGCCGCCGGCCTTCTTCGTCCCGCGCCTAACCGGCCCGGCTCGCCTCACGATTTTACCTTTCCCCTTTCCTCCCCTCTTGACGGTTGGCCGACTCCCCTTAGCTGGTCGTTTCACCGGCCGTCTGGCAGCCGGTCGCCGTTTAGCGCCGGACGCTTTCCCTCTCCGAGCGGAGCTCCGCCGGATGGGGGAAACTGCAGGCGCGCGCTTGGCGCTGGAGATCTTCCTCAGCGCGCGCCGAGCGAAGAGGCTGTCAGCGGGTGCTGCGGGCTGAAGCCGACTGGTGCTGTTGTCTGGCCAAGGCGCGTCGGTACTGCTGCTGCCGCTGCTGTTGCTGCTCGCGCCGCTGCTGCCACTCCTCCTAGCGTTGCTGTTCGGACTTCGGCCATTACTGAGTGTGGTGTTAGCAGAGGTCTTCGCCCACCCTTTCCATCCCGCGTCACCATTACCATGTCCCCATCGGTCCAGGATTCCAGACTGCGGTTTGAACATCCCCTCTTCGTATTCGTCAGCTTCATAATCGTCGTCGTTCTCGTCATCGTCATCAACGTCGCCATCATCGTCGTCATCATCGTCATCGTCGTCGTCGTCATCATCATCGTCATCGTCGTCGTCGTCGTCGTCGTCGTCGTCGTCGTCGTCGTCGTCATCGTCGTCATCGTCGTCGTCGTCGTCCCACTCTCCCCCATCTTCCTCGCCACCCCATCCTTCCGTTTCCCTCCACTCTTCCTCACTCCTTACGTCATAACTCAGAAGTCTCTCCGTCCCCTCTTCCTCACTTCCCACGTCGTTACCGTCCTCCACTTCCTCGTCATCCCCATCTCCCTCTTCCACTACGGTCCGCTCCTGTTCCTCCTCTCTTGCCCTGTTATATTTTTTCACATCCCACATTCCTCCTCCTGCCCCGAACCTCCGCTCGTCCCCGTCACCCCTACCCCGCCGGCTCCCCAACGAGCTCACATTTCGCCCAATTTGGGCGTCCTCGTTCCCCATCGGATCTTCCGCCGCCCGCTTCCGCCTGCGCATTACAGCGCCTTTTCCCGTCTGTTCCGCTTGCGACCCTTGCGCCACTTCCGCTCGCAGCGGCGTGGAGACGGCGGAGGAAGCGGAGGGCGATTTCGAGTCTGCATGAGTTGGTTCGTTAGTTAGTAACGCCCCTGAAGGCGAACCCTCTGTGGGAGTTGTTAGCTGTCTCTGTGTGGATGTGGAGTTAGCAGAAAGGACCTCTGTTCCGTTTCCTGTTGGGAATGTTGTGGGGAATGCCGTGCTATTGGCAGTAGCAGGTGCGAGGTTCGGTAGCGACAGTAGAGCCACAAGTAGGAGAAGCACCTGCGGCAAGGCGAGCACGGTTGGCGAGAAGAAGGAGAGGGGGTGGTTGAGAGGGCAAAGGAGGTGAATTTAATTGCGCAAAAAAAGCTTGGGCAGAGAAAGGGGGACGAGTACCCGCGACGAAAATGAGGAGCCATTTGTGCAGTGCGGATGAGCACTGGTTACGGATAGTAGGAAAGGAAGTAATGCGAGAGAGTGGAAAGGAGTTGAAGAGGGTGCATTACGGTTCGGATGGTGGTTGACGGCGGCATTGACACAGGACCATCTCTCGTACGCCTCTTTGGACTAGCAATGCGGCTCCAGGACGACTGGCTATCTGACGAAAAAAGTGCGCTTCCACGCCAAAATCCTTCTGCTACGCCATTCGGTGGAACGCGTTTGCTTCCAGGACAATGCCCGAGAGCCGTAAGGGCGATCTGTCGGCCATGGCTCATGATTTATTATCGGCCCTGCGCGGAAAGATGAGATGGAGCGAGCGGCGCAGGCGTCCTGCGAAAGGCCGTTTACGAGAGACGTCTCACGCAGCGACTCGTTGCATTCATGGCATTATTGTGGTGTTTCGTGGTGGTAGGGATACGAGTGAGTGCTATGCACAGCAAGCGAGAATGCAAGTGGCGTGGTTGATATTCTCTCTGATACGGACTCGACGGATTAGCCACGACGCTCAATACTTGATCGCGAATTTGCTTTGTACTCTGCTCGTTTGCCGTCTTCTCGCTTCAACGTTCATACGGCCAACAAGCAAGGGGAGAATGACTAAGGGCGTGTCCAGCGCGTACATTTACAGTTCATAAACCCATTCAGTTACCACATTTCCTATTGTAACACTGCATTTTACAAAAAGGTTGGACACGATCAGCTTCCGTTCACAAGACGGCACGCCCGCTGCGCGTACGACGAATCGTCTAACACACGTTACTGGAATCAGTGTGCGCGCGAACAAGGGTACAGCATTGCGTCCTGCCCGCTACAGTAATTTTCGTTCAAGCGTGGAATTTTCGCTTGTGCGTGAATTTCTGTGCGATGATAGACGAGGCAACCAGTTACCTCGTTTTCCACGAACTGTAGAAATTTGTGTGCAGAGGCTTGTGTCCGCGCGCTGGAAGGCCCAATCCTTCGGACTCGACTCACCTTATATTCGTTTTTTGGTACAGTGAGATTTTTTGAGCCGGGAAACGTGTGAAGGTACTAATATTCCCAAAATGTACGCGCTGGACACGCCCTAATCTCACGAGTGTTGGGTGAGGGGTGGTGCCAAATTCACAAGTTCGAAGGAGACTGGTGTAGGATGGACTAACGGTGTAGGGCAAGCAATGCAGGGGAGGCACGGAAATTACCAGTCAAGTTGCTTGGTTGGTCTGATCTGAGCAAGCCGCAAACAAAGGCATGGACCCCGAGTCGCTATGTGTTGTTGCTGATCGCGACGCGCGGGACGACATTTGGTGTGCCTCCAAAATTCAGTCTGTCTGCGACGGGGCGCAGAGGATGCTCAACGACACTTTGGGTTCGGTGTGAGGGACTTGCCATAATCGCCAATGGTTACTGCCTCACCACCGACCGAACCAGCAGGCTCCACCGTCGTTCACGAGATTGCTGTTGTTGCGACAGTCTGACAAGTCGTCCATCCTTGATCATCACGAAGCGAAAAGAGAGGGAAATTGGATTGCCGCCAGCACATATTTTGTTACCTGATTCCTTCAATAGTAACCATGTTCAATTTCCACCATCCACTAAAAATATATCATACAAAATAACAAATATATTGTGTGAGCGTGTTACGAGTGCAATTGAGTGTGCAAACGAGGATTGCACTACCGAGGCAAGAATACAACGAGCGAGGGAATGAGCTAACAATATATGGCGAAGCCTAACGTGGTAACGGTAACTCGCGAGGTGTGGGGTGCGCGACGGGCTTGGCGCTGTTGGGCTGAGAAAAGCCCTTAGGATCTTTACAGGACAGAATTCAAGGGTAGGACAATGTAATAGCGGAAGCGTTTTAATAAAGACTTGTGAACCACCTTGCGCTGGTATGTGAGGGCAAAGTTGATTGATTGAAAACAAAGAGATACAAGCTTTTATAAGGATACAGGGAATATGAAAAGACACGGTTAATAACTGTTTTACTGTTGCTGTTGCGGTTCGATACAGTGTCGACTCGGGCAACTGCTCATTATCGAGACAGTTGTTTGTCCTTGCTGTCGCGCTGTATTTGTCAGGTCAAAGGTCGCTGACCTTTGACTTTCGCGTAACCTCCAGCAGTTGTTCAACCTCCGAGGGTTGACTCGCCGATGTTTCGATATGATCTGTTTTGTTTCTGTCTTGGTGTTTCGATACGACAGAGGCGCTTAGATCAGTTGTTTCCAACACTCCCCTTCGCTTCTGGAGTGTCGCTGCTGGTGACGTGTCTCTGTCCAGTCAACAGCATGCAATATTCGAACTTCGACTTTCCGAGCTTCTTGGTCAAGTAATCAGCTGCCATCTCGGATGTGGGGGAGTAAGACAGCTCAAGTCTCCCCTTCTCGATCTCGTCCTTTACGAAGAAATATCGTAGGGCGATATGCTTCGTCCTGTTCGCGAATCCATTTTTGTTGGCTATGCGAATTGCCGACTGGTTGTCGCAGAATAGGGAGAAGCTGGGTAACTGGGCCAGCTTCGCTTCCTCCAGAAGTTCGCGAAGGTACAGTCCTTCCTTGGTGGCTGAGCAGAGTGCGATAGATTCAGCTTCAACTGGGGAGAGAGCGATTAATTCCTGTTTGCTCGACTGCCATGAAATAGGTCCGATAGGCTCGAGGCGGTAGATGTAGCCTGTGCGCGAGCGACTGTTGTCAGGATCTCCGGCATGGTCGGCGTCGACGTATCCGATTAGCTTGGGCGTTGTAGTTTTGCTCTTGTAGTATATTAGGCCGATCGTCGGAGTACTAACGAGGTAGTGAAGGGCTCGGTCTAGTTCCGCCATGTGTTCAGCTTCAGGCCTTTTGAGGTAGGTGGCGAGTTGACTTGCGCAGTAAGATAGGTCCGGGCGGCAGGTAACGGCCGCAAAGAGAAGACATCCCAGCTTTCTCTGGTAGTTGCGTATGCCGACAGACTTTAGTGGAGCAGATTCTGCCTTGTTGTTTCCTGCCGTGTAGCGGTATGGTGTGGAGATGGTAGTTGGCGTGAGTGCGAAGCGTTTGGCGATGGTGTCGGCATATTTTGCGGCGTTGAGGTAGATCGCGCCTTCTTCTTCTTGGATGTTGAGGCCGAGGTACTGCGTGACGGTAGATGATACTGTGAGCGTGAGGTCCTTTTGT